CAATCTAGATGGCCTTGAAACTGCCTCGAGGCAGCTGGAAAACTATAAGAGTATTGCTGTAAAGCTATAGGGTGTTGATGTTATGCTGTAAAGCGGTAACATTAAATCTAATGCGTTTTCGAAGGCTCTGTTTAATTGGGTTCTGGCACAACTGGATTATGGGAATCGATTTCAGGGGATGTTTTTGTATCTGGTATGGAAATGAGGCACTTCTGACTTGTCTCCTCCGAAGAATCGAGGGTTATTTGGTAGACAAATCTTTTTCTATGTGCCATGGTCTAGCATTCGGTCCAGAATCGTAGAAAAGGTTGAAACGAGTCAGCTGACCGACACATAGACATCCTAATAGAAGTCAAAATCCATCGAAAGTGGCCCAGTGACACAGAAGTTTCGTGCGAGTTAGCCATCTGCAGGGCCTAATTTGCCCGTATGACCAGTGCCCTACAGATAATTTGGTTCCTGCTCAAAAATGTAGCAAGGGTGCTATATAGTGGGGAAGTGTCAAAAAATGAAGTTGAACGGTCAAAAACCTGCGAAAAACCTTTGTTTGCACGGCATTGGACGAGCATTTTTGGACGAGTTTCCCGCTGGCATCGTGCCAACAACCGCTTTGATAGATACGACTGCACGTATGTATTCATATATCCATGTAGCAACGCTTCATATCAATTGTACTTCATAAATGAAGCGATAAGAGTGCCAGCGTCGATGTGACTGTGCGGCCATTTGTGGGCGGGCGGTTGCGGTGGGCGTCTGGGTCGGCATGTTGCACCTTGGTTAGGCGCTATAACGGTGCCCTTGGTTGGGAAAGGCGCCACGCAGCGCCTACTAAGGGGCACAATATCTTTTGTGCTAGGCTTATAGACCCTGAACGCCTTGTCGATTCATCGCGCCACATGCCTGTAAAGCATCGACTGCTTCGGACAACGCCTTGGTGCTTAGGTCAAGGGTACTTTTGATTCAGTTGGAGATTCTTCCTGCAGTTTCGCTATAAAGAATACATGCGCGGCGCATCCTAAGAAGTTGCTCAATACCGAGCAGTCCATTCCAGCTCGTTTCCATGGCATTAGAGAGGCGACACATAAGAAGAACTCTATTCGGAACTCGAAAATTTATTCTCGACTCAAAAAATAGTTTCTTAATGTTGCCCCAGCGCCCCAGTTAGCTCCCTGAAGGGACATTCGTCGTTATGTGAGTTTCGCAATCCCATACTGCCTAGTCGGCTAGGCTTCCCTCTAATCCCACGCCCTTATTTCTGCGCATCGATTCAGCAACAACAACGGGCAAGAAACTCCAGGAAGCCGCAGCACCGTTCAAAGGCGTGGTTTGACAAGGGAAATGCAAGATGGCAACGACGGACTGCTGCGGCGGTTTGACGTTTGAAGTGTGCTGAAATGAGAAAAACGCGACATCTTGAGCCATTCTAGGGGAGCAAATTTCGAAAGCTTCACGGAATTGGTCTAAAGGGACGTCCATTCATCTAGGATCGCATTTCCCTAAGGCCTCGAAAGGACGGCGACTGAGTCCTGTCCAAGACTCTGTCTTAGTGGCTATTGTCTCAGAGATTGGTTTTCAGCTCCAGCTACCACACATTTTGGCTCATCTGCTCTCGAATTGAACTCCCCTATACCTGGAGTAGGGCCAATTTTTTTGACTTTGCTTGATATGTGAATAGTCCGCAGGCTGTTCGAGAAGTCTGAGCAGGAACTATGCATGGATTTCGAATCTCCATAGTAAGTGCATGAATTCAAACGAGGAAAGGCAACGCGAGAGTTCTTCTCGCGAGGTTAGGATGTGTAAGGCAGAGGGAGGGTTAGGCCAACCCAGAAACTCCTGCAAATGTCCGTAAACTCAGAATATGTCAAATTTATTACCACTAGGCTATTTATGCTCTAATCGCTTTGTCAGTGCACTGCTACAGAGTCCAATTGGTCCCCTTTCGACCCAGAGAGAAGTACGATCGGGAGCAGTTCGGCGATGGGAGGGGGCAATTTTTGACTTTCATTGCTCCACTAGTTTCGGTTTGCATACTTTACCTGATGAACCTGTGAAATCCTGTGAAGCTGGAGCAAGCTCATTGAGTGAAACCTGTCAACTCACGAAAAGGCTCTCTGGATGGGTCGACACGTAGATGGAAAACAAATGCAAAATGCCCCCCCGTCGCCGAACTTCGGCGAATAGACGTTTTTGTGATTGCATACAAGTGCTTAGATATGTGGTGTGGTACCTGCAAGCGCAGGGTAATTCACAGATGGTCCATAATTTAGCACGTTTTATTGCTATGATATACGACCTCAATAGGTTCCCCATGAGAAATGACTGGCCACAGATTTATTAAAACCTTACACTTCGGGTAGGTATTGATCGGTTCCTCACTTTTAGTGAAGTCCGTTTCAATTCGAAACTTTTTTCAGAACTTTCATCTTTGTATAGTTCCCAGGCAAATGGGGCCAGAAGTAGCGCATTCTCTAGCAATCGATGTATTGAAGAGAATGTCCCGTATCCTTTTAGCCGTTGGCTACTCTCTTAACGATGCCAGTTCGTCGTCGTTAAAGTGCTTTCTTATGTGCTCCCATTCGTGTTCGCGAAATTCATGTAGCAGCATTTTTGGCAGTATACTACTAGCGTTTATGCCAGTACAGGTTCTCTTCCATGGCCATTCGCTGTGGGATGCCCTTTGCAGGAGAAGATGATGCAGGGGCAACATTTATTCTTACCGTGTTCGATGAAATTCCGTCCAAGTCACCAAGTCTTTCACTTCTTCATTGCCTGGTGTTTGGTATCACTTCTGTAAGAATTAGAAAGGCTCACTGGTATTTCTGCTGACTGTGCGCTGTTATGGCCCTTTGAAGACAGTTCGCAGTTAAAGGAAATGCCTCCGTGCATTTGGCATCGTTGTCCGCATTCGCAGAGAACTTACAATTTTGTCACTCGAAACGGCGAGATAAAGAAGCTAGAGACGCGTGATTATTGCAACCATTGCAACCACGATTACTTTCACTCTGCAAGACAACGGCTTACAAGCGGAATGCGTGTGTACATAGCGTTGCCTGGAGCGTCGTAGGGTGATTTCCTGTGCTCTTGCCGGGGAATGGTTGCACGTCGAATCCTGCTGATTGGGCTTGCCGACGTCCGACAAACTCGTCCAAGGCGCCGGCCCCACTGCTAAGGGGTCTCTGTCAGAGTGTTCCCAAGGTTTTTTTTGCTTCTTCTCTACTGGGGAGTTACTTGTGGGCTACTGGTTCATGACTGAGCACCTACTACCCGTAACACTTGATCGCGGGAATTGTCCTTAAACGGGATTACGATCCGGAAAGGGACCGGTCAACGTCGGATGCTCCTTTTTTGTCTTCGAGTTCGGTGAAAATAGTGGTTGGCAAATAAGCAAGGGCATTTCCCATTTTCACTACCTTAAAATTTCGCATTGGAGACGAAATGAGTCCTGTACCATTTGATAGAGAATTTTGTCGCTATTCGGCTTGAGGATTATTTATGGGGCACTTCGTCTTCTCGCCTTTCTTTCCGTTAAGTTCCTGTTAGATTACTCGTCAAAAACACTTGAAAATTCAAGCCTGTTTTGTTGACAAAAAACAAATTGTGGTACCATCTCATGGTAATACCGTTACCTGCTCCCTGCAGTTTCCATTTTCTGAAGTGACCGACCAAAATCCTGTTTCAGCCGACCTCTGTCGCTCAACATGAGATCGAATTGACACTTGTTCGGCAATATTTTGTTCTCACTTTCTGTTTCTCGAACATAAGCCTTTTTGTCCCCAGCTTCCTCTCATAAACATTTCAACAGCTCAATAGCCATGCGCCAGCCATTTCGCTCCTCCTTTTTATTGCTCTCATTTTGCCTTTAATTTTTGTTTTTTCTACAACGAAAATTGCCTGAAACGCCTCTTTTTCAGTTAAGCGACGATGGTGGCGTATCTCTATCGGATGAGGAAGACCTAAGAGCCCGAATGGACATGCATCAGCTGGTCTCACATGGCTCCATTAGCGGAGATTCACCACCGCAAACTGCTGATCAAGTCATTGAAGAAATTGACGAAATGCTACAGGTAGGTCGATACATCTATATAAAGGTGGTCAGGGCTAGCTCAAGGATTTACTATGTTCTCCCTTATTCAGTATATTGTAGCAATTCAACTTTCATTTGGACGGGACATCTTAATTTATCTTTTTGTGAGGTGCCTGTGAGTGGGAACAGGAGCGGTTGTTGGGAGCCTACCAATCAAAGTAAAAAAGACCACATACTGACATTTTCACATTCCTATGGCCTATCACCAAGCACAGAACTCCACTAGGAGTCATGGAAATTTCGTGTTTTGCCTACACTATGTATTGTAGTAAAGCCGATGTTCAAATCCGGGCTTTGATCGTATATACAGGGGGGGGGCCAAAAAAGTCACTTCGACCGAGTCACATATCAGCAAAGTTTTCGCTGCCCAGACAGAGGACGTGGATACGAGTACCAGGGCGGAAGATACCCAATGTTCCTCGATAAGCAGGAGCTGGCTCTCGCCCATCACCTTCATGTACACCAAAATATGAAGTCATCTCCAGTCGCAGCCTGACTGGAGAAGACCTTTGGAATTCATGTCACCTCCAAACAGCTGCGAAACTTCTAGTGTATGGAGTCACCCATGTAGCTACCTGGAGACCAGTACTCTCGATCTGGAAGACCTCCAACATCGAGCAGCTCCGACAACGTCGCCACGGTCTAGGACATCATCACCACAGTCGCCAAGGCGCGGATGGTATGGACCGGACGTACCTGGAATGGAAAGACCAATATTTTCTTCGTGGACCCCGGACTGAAGGTGAGCGCTGGCGGTTACATCAACTCAAGAAGAATATCCTTCCTCACATGTCGTCGCCCGTACCTTCTTGGAAAGTACTGCTACAGCATTGGGTGCCACCACATGGAAGGGCATTGGAGAAACTCTCGCCTACTTGGAATGGAAGGCGTTGAGTACCTGAAGAAGATGGAATATCTAAGCAGGTCACCTGACCTAAACCCCCTCAATTACCCGGTTCGGGCGGAGTTCAATAGGGTGGTCTACGGTGGCGGAGAAATCGACTATCTCGCTGATCTCAGGCACCACATCGCGGTCGCGTGCCAGAATCTCTCGATGGCGCTCGTCCAGAAGGCTGTGGCGGAGTGTCATGATAGTATTTAATATGCTCTTTAATATGGTGGTAAAAATGTCCGATCAGAATTTAATAAAGTGTAACTTATAGCGCCTCGAAAGTCAATGAAAAAGTGACTTTTTTTGCCCCCCCCCCTGTAGATAGGCACTGAGCTCAGTAGATGAGGGGACAAGCTTATTAGTAGGCCTTCCACGCGCTGCTGGCGCTTGGGAGGGGCATTTTAGACTTCCACTAGTTTCATTTGCCAGTCCCTGTTGAACAACTCGTCACTTCTCGGAGAGACCTATAGATTCATGTTAACGATGCTCGCTCTATTGCATAGCTTCACAGCATTTTATAAGTCTGCACAGGAGGCATCGGCAGTGATCGACGGGAACCAGCAAAATGCCTCCATCAAGCCGAAGCTGCGCCTGCGATCTCTGTCAGCATAAACAAACAAATGGCAATAGAGATTCTTGTCAAAAAAGATTCCAAAAGTGATGGCGACGTACGATTTTCATGAATACTTCTGACAAGGCCGCTTCGTGCCCGCGTAAACAACACAACCCGTTCAGTGGAACATTTCACCATGCATGAATAATTGCTCGTTGTTTTCACCAGAGTAGTGTGATTAAGAAGCCCTGTGATAAACTCCAGGGACGCTGCTCTATATTGAACCCCTAGCCATAGCTATAGTGAAAAGGAAGTTGAAGAAGCGTGAAGGAGTCAGGGCTACGGAATTACCCTCATATGGAGAACTGGTGAAGTTCACCAACAAACCCTGCCTATCTGCGTATTGGGTACCCACGCGTATTGGGTATCTAAAAGGCAAGCCGATCTGATAACCATGGAATCTGGTCTTCTGGGATTCTGCATTGAAGAGTAGAAGTGAGGGGTACCTAGGGCAACTCTCACTGGTCATTTATCGTTAAAAGCAGGAATCCGTGGGATAAGCAGAGGCTATCATTAGGATTTCGGAAGATTTGTGGAAGAAAAACTTCGGAAAAGGTCAGATCTGATGAAACATGACTCGGCTGGGTAGGCGGAGTTCCTTGTGTGGGCAGTATGCGAGAGGGGCGCCGTTGAATAAGCCAATGCAAGAGAAGTCTGAGAAAACTTCCATGGTGCAAAAAATGGGCGTGTGAGAGGGCGGGAATTGAGGAGCCAGGACGGCCTTTTAAGCCTATGATGCCATCTTGAGCCGCAGTAATTGATAGAAAAGGCTGCCGTGGCTGTGCTCCAATCCACGTTTTTTCGCACGTCTCTCGACCTCGCGAGGATAACGACTGTAACTGTGAGCGCGGAAAAGACTCGCGTAACTGGTGGACAGTTGCCGTATCAGATCAAAAGGAATGAGGAGTGGTTGGACTTTTCTTCCGTCCTCAACACTTTTTTGCACATGTTGTACATGCATGATCGGGCCGCTGTGCTCCAACTAATTCACTGGAAGCTCATCTTCAACGCCGGCATGGTCTGCACAGTGAAGAACGGCGTAGTTCGGCGACGGGGGTGGGGCATTTTGCACTTTCGTTGCTTCACTGGTTCCGGCTTACAAGGCTCAGGCAGCGTTCAGACTTCGCGACGGCAGCGCTTCGGTCGCGCGTTCGATGCAGTCGAAAGGGTGCGCATCGATTTCCTCGAACACGCGACCGAAGCACGGCCGTCGCGAAGTCTGAACGCTGATCTCACCCTGGTGTAACCTCCAAACTCTTGTGAAGCTGGATGGAGCTCGTCAAGTAATCATGGTAAAAGCTGTATTCGAGAAGAGGCTGTGTAAAAGAGAGGACATGTCGATGGGAAGTAGCAAAAGTATAAAACGCCCCGTCGCCGAACTGCCCCGTGAAGACTATTCTATTAATTTTATGTAATAAGATAGTATTGTTTAGTTTTTTGAGAAATCCATTGTAATTTAGTTATAATACTCATCCTATTTTCATGAGTTTTTTTGATGCCCTATTTAACGATTTCATTCAAATTTGATTTTGGGGAGAGGGTAGGAGGTGGAGGGGGTAATTAACCGAAGCAGTTCACTTTTCGTTCCGTTTTCTTTTGAAATACCTGTTTATTTTCAGTCATGTGACTTCACTGGTTCAATGATGACTGATCGAACAATGGAGTCTGTCGACAGCATGTACTCATCGATGCGATCACCTCTGCCATCGGGACATTCCAGTGATGCTGACATGAAACTGCGTCAGGCACAAGCCCTTGCCGCCAATCCTGAAAGTACGTTATAGCAATTGAAGGCACATTCCACGATAACCTGGTCTTGTAGGCAAGTTACTGCTAACACACCTGAGCGGTGAAGAAGGCCATGTCTGCTTTTGTTGCAGGGATAAGATGTAGGCACAATCCTCATAAGCCTCGAGCGCTACATGTTTGACAGTTCCCTCTACCAAGGTTATCGTGGAATTTGCCTTTAACCATTGCCAAAAACGGCAAAGTTATCGTGTACTGTGAATTTCGCACCTCTATCGAAACCACGAGATCCTACAAGAAACGCATGGTGCTAGATAATGCTTCTGTACTAGTAATCTTGGCGGGGGCATTCAAAGAACTTTCCGTGAGCAGCTGGGTTAAATGACATCCGAATACAGTCTCCGTAGTTCAAGGTAATTCATCGAGCTCCTCTCTTTAATTTTATGTTTGGCCAAAAATTGAAGACCACCTACTAACCACCTTTCACAATCAGGGGATGCTCGTTGGGCAGAAACTTCCAACCAGGCATGCCCATCGTCTTTACCGTACTGAAGGAGGGCGCATCAATGAGGGAGGCGATGACCTGTGAGTCTGGCTATCCCTGATCAAGCCCGGGATACGAGGGTTATTCAATGTATTCTCGGTATAGGAAGGAAAGAGCAGAAAATTCCGAATAAAAATTTATTTTTCATTGTAGCCCGCCATAACCTCAATACACTTGTTCGCTCGAGAAACTAACTTTTCTAAACCAAAAATTTCTTTTCTCCTCGTCCTCAAAGTCAGAAGAACGCTTTCTACAAATATTTTGCAGGTTGGGAAACAAGAAAAGATCATTAATCATCTCCTCAATTTTCACTTTTTTGATTTTTTTGATCAGTGATCATTTTCGAAATGGTCGCATCAGTATTCTGGTCATTTTTCACCAAAGATAATTAGAATAGCATTGATGATTACTAAAGTGAAAATTTGTATTTATACCCTTAGAGAGTGTCATTACCTATTGAAATGATTTAAATTACCCCGATACGGAGAATACTCTGAACGGCCCTTCTTGTTCCCAATGCCCCCCCCCCACGACGGGCAGTTCTTGAGTCATGATTTATCCGTGGTTTTTCGATCCTGTTTTTTGCACTACGCCTTAGATTAACTTTTTGTTTGCTTTTGCCACCATAAGGTTTGAGCTTGTATGGTATAGAGATTACTGGTCCTAAGAGTAATACAGTAGAAAATTGTAAAGCCACAAAACCAAAATGTCTTTATCTTACAGAAGCCAACAGTGATTCCGTAGCCGGTAATCCTTCATTCTATTTGTACTGTGTTTCGTATGACTTGTCTTTTCTACCGTATCATACGCAGTAGAAAATGCAATGCTAGTTATAGCTGATACCGTCGCCATCCGGCGGGGCGATGCCACGAGGCGTGAAATGAGCCCATCCACGGCTGCGTTTCCTACAAGTAGTGTTAACCAGTGGTGGAATACGCCGTGGGTATGCCCATCCCACGTCTCCTGACACCGCTTCGCCGGATTGCGACGATATCAACTTTAAAATCGCCGCAATATATTTTTGAGTGACAGAATTGATTTTTAGTGAATATGTTGCGACGGTAGAGATTGGTGTTTGTGTTGGTATAGTATGGTAGTAGTATAGAGGTGTTAGGAGTGTTACAGTGGCTGGTTGAAGCACTTGCACTGTTGCAGTTCTTTTTCCTTTTCATCCAAGGGTTCCATTGCACCTAGCAGTTCTAAATGGCTCCAAGGTCATACTTGTATCTGTAGTAGAATTATTGAGTATTCCGACTGGTGCATTCCTGGTGGCTATTGAACGGGTAGGAATGGTGTCCGAACAAATACGATGATTCATATTAGTAGTTGTTGAACCTAACCTTCTACCCGAACCACAATTCTCTTTTTGGGTATATTATATCGCAGCAAAAAACTAAGTGTCGCGCCATCTTGTCGGTGGCGCTATCCGTTGTCAGCATTGGTGAGTACACTAGCTTCTGCCCCGTCCAAACCGCGTTAGCGTAATGGGGTATACCCTTGCCCCCTTCTAACTGGTCAACGGCCTAAACCAATCTATTTTCGAAACAGGTGGGCTAAAGCGATTGATAAGGCAGAAGGTGTCACTGTGCCAGTCCATCATCTACTAGTGTGAGCAGCATTATGACTGTGGACATTATGTCATATTTACAGTCTTGTTCCGGATGCTGGAGCGTGTCAGGGAAGAGGGAGGAGCCACTTTCAGCGCGGCCCCAGCCCCTTTTCCACCGACTGCTGTCATTCGCTATCTTCAGCAACTGAGACTTGGGCCTGTCGTGAAACACAGGCTGATGTCCGCGGCCCAGCCCCTTCCCAGACACGCCCACCAGCGAACAAAGGCTATAGAAAGATGCGCCTGGAGCGCGATTACGCGAATGTAGATTGCTAAAAGAGTTGAAGAGTTACTGGTATGCCATAACGAACTTTATTGCTTCTGCTTTTATATAAAGGAAGACAATGCTGTTCGACTAAAGCGGCAGAAGTTACGGGCACAGCTGGGCTCGCTAGTCAGCTGCACTTACTGCCTGCAATTCGCTTCATCCTGGTCTGAATGGTTGAGGACTTCCTTAAGAAAACCTTTTGTGTTCAGACAGGCCTTGAGAAATTCAATCGTTTCGAACAAATTTCCGAACAAACAACAGAACAATCAAGGTTGCTCTGTGCAATGGAACCTTTTGCAACGTGGGGTCTTGGAATCTGCCGTGCGGTTTTCAAAAACTAATTGTATTATGAGTTTGAAAATATCTTATAGCAAATCTACAATAAATAAAAGTCTTCAACAGGAATGGTACTAGCCTGTAATGCACTACTTGCTTATCTGCCACTACTGCTTATGCATGCATTATCAGAGTACACGATTGAAAACGATCCAATTATAGAATATAGCAGATAAAGAGGGAGATGCTTCAGATTTTCATAAATTATGAGGAACCAATTTTGAAGGATTTGCCCGCGTGAGAATTTTAGTGGTTATTCCGCTTTTCCCCTTTTTCCTTCTCTCATTCGCCTCGCACCCCTCATCACCCATTCATCATCGTTTGGGTTTTTCCACTATGAAAATATGAGGTGCTGACAAATGAGGAGGCCCGCTTGCAGCGAGAGTGCCAAGCTTCCTCCAACGGTGGATAAACGTAATGCCAATGCTAACGTAACTACTTGGCTAAATAATCCAATATGACGGGGGGGGGAAGGGTTTTATGTAGCGAGTCATGTCTAACGCTGGCGCGGTAGGCCGGAAATTGAATACAAAACCCCCGAGGTCGGGTGATTGCTAATCAACATAGTTCCTATCAGTTGATTTCTAACAATATTGTTGCTCTGCGTTCAACAATCCGTCGGATGACGGGCTATTCGGCGAGTCCAACCCAGCCTCATTGGCACGCCCTCAGCGAACAATTCTGCTAAAATCGCCGAGGAGTTTTGCACGTGATCACATTGTAGCAAGTTCTGTGCTATCAAACATGGACTAGTGTAAACCGTGGAAAAATGAGTCTCTAACATCTGGCATTTCCTCCCGCCGAATTCTAAGTGGAAAAGCTCTTCATCGCTACGACTGGGAAAGCATTTTCAGGGAGGTGAGCATCCAGCTACGTACCATCGTTGAGTTCAACCGGATTTCTTAGGCTTCTCCCGAAGGGGTTTCAAAGTTCCACAGACAGCCAATGTTGCACTTTAAGACGCGCTGCAGAAAGAAATGCTTTTTCAGTTGCTTGAGAGCTCACTCAAACTTGTCATAGCCGACCACTCAATATCTGCAACCCTAAAGAGTCGTGTCTCGATTGGCCCGCAGCAATTAAGAGGGCGTGTAGGAGTGTTTAGAGCAAAGCCACGGCATCCTTCTCGCTAGTTGTTGCAGGCTTAGAACTACAAACTTGGTGGGTAAGACCGCGTTGGCTGTGCTTTCTCTCGAACTGTTTCAGGGCTCGGTATAGAACCGCCTCAGCAGCTAAATTCTCTAGAGGAGCCTAGACGGATTATCAAGGCATAGGTGAAAACCAGTTCAACTTGAACTAAAGACTGGTCGTGCTCATTTTTTTCGCCCTTTACTTGAATAAAGATATTTCTGACAAATGTTTTGATTTACTGCCTATACCATATCAGCACAAACCTGAGTTTCTGGTATAAAGCTTTGAAACGGAGGCGGGCACTCTGCTGCTAAAATGCTTTACTTTGTTGAGTTCTCGCTCAGCTAGTAACTATTTTCAGATCTGAACGAGTTGTCATATTCGAAGCTGGTCACACTGAACGCTGAAATGGAGCAGCTCATTCAAGTTTACAATGAGAGTCTCGTTGACGAGTTGGCCCACAGGTGAGACACTGGCGTAGAATCATTTGTGGATGATTTCCAAAAAAAATTAAAAATTATTTTCTTTGCGAGGGTGGGGGAGATTGAACTTGAAACAGATTCTCTTCTGGGAAGATTTCTTATTTTGGCGATGGTGGCTGTGCTTAGAGCCCGAGAGAGATGAGGATGTATCGACGGAAGAGGTAGTAGTCGGGAATCGAGACGGTATTCTGGCCGCGAACAGTGGTCTATAAGGTCCATGGGTTAGATTCGGTCGGGCGGACTGCTGTCATTCTTTAGCAACACCCAGTCGGGGGCGTGAACTGATTCTTCGGTGGACTACCTCTCTCAAGTGCAAAACTTAGTTGTGTGGACTAGGTTACTTTTGCTGTATTTGTACTGCGTTTACCTTCTCTAGGGACGAGTTGGAATACGAAAAAGAGATGAAGAACACTTTCATCTCATTGTTACTCTCAATTCAAAACAAACGCCGTCAATTTGTCAACGAGCGAAAGAGGAAAGGGGTAAGTTGGTGCAGGGGTGAAAGCCGCGTAGCTTTGATCTCGGTGGACTTTGATGCTTATTTGTGAGCTACGCACGTTCCACGCTAATTCTATTGGTCGGAGTCACTTTCAGTTTGCTCCATTCTGCATGGTGTTTTATTCTACTACGAGATGAAAAAGCCAGGGAGGGAAATACACCATGATGAAGGCCGACATTGGTCAGTGCTCCGCCCATACGATCATCGTGGAATGTGCCTTAAAGCAATCCACTAAACCGAAATTAACGAACTTCAAGCTATTTTAGACCAAGATAGACCCGCATCAACTTCCGCAATTCATGACGGCAAGTATTCCGTACAACGACCATCAGCATATGGATAACGCTACGCTTTCTTCTTTAATAAAGAGTGGCTGAGTTCACCCCGCCTCCCCTAAAAAAAATGGTTCATACAAGTTTCTTTTTCAATTTAACATTTCAACTATTCATGTTTGTTTTTCTTTTTTTTTGGTCTCTCGGGAAAACACTTTCATGCGCTAAGAACAGCGTGTTACCTGCAGCATATATCAGCGTTGAAAAAGTCCAGGAACTCAAGTGTAAGCGCGGCAGCTACTATTCATCTGAAGAAGGCGTCAAACAAATTTTGTTCTCGTGGGAGGTTGGGGCGCCAACCTCTTCGCTCATTACAGGCGATGTCCCACAGATAAGCAACCGCCGCTGCATTCAAAACTGAGCCCGTAAGCAGGCTCCTTACAAAGCCGAGATGTAGAGCATCCCTTTCCCCTAGTCGTCCCTTTTTTGAGGTCTTACCTTATTTCGCTGGGGTGGATTGTATACTTCCAAACCCAAACAGTTTGCAGTCATTCCAGAAACTGTTGCATGGAAATCAAACGCGCCTGCGCACCACAACTTAGTTCTAGCCAAACCCTTCCCCTATCCTTTCCTGAACCCTCACCCGTATCGTGGGGCCATGACCGAGCACTGCTATTCATGACCACTCCCTCCCATATATGCAGCATGAGGCTGGCGTGACTGCTCCACGACTCCACGCACCATCGATCCACACACCATCGCAATGGATTTTTCTTTTCTTTTATACCCCTACCCTGAAAATGGTCCCTCGAACGAGGAACGGGACGAAGGAACGAGGAACGAGGAAAAAGGAAATTGCCGCGCTGTCGTTTGACGGGGGAAGTTGAATAGAGAAAAATTGAGAATCAAAAAGTCTCTGCTGGACCAAATATGGGACTCCCCTCCTGCACTTGGGAATCAGTAACCATAGTGTGCCTAATCCATGAACTTCTTCGGCACCAATATCCTTGGGAGGAACAATTAGGACTTTTTGTGCAGAAGTGGGATTAACGTCTTCCGGTACTCAGAACTGGTTCACCCATTGCAGAGATTTTTTCCCTTCTAACCTCATTCAGTATATAGTCTTCGCCCCTATTGAGGCAACAGTCTTGTTCGCTGGGGCGTGTGAGAGGTTCAGGTAAGATCGGGGAGGGGGGTGTTTAGCACGGCGCCAGCCTGTTTCCACCGCTTCCCGTCTCTTGGGGGACAACGAGCTGGGCCGCGCCAAATCCAGCCTCCCTGACCGCAGCGAATAAAATTGTAATTGCGTCTCCGGGGTTATTTGGGCTCTCTAACGAGTCCACAAGTTTTGAAAATTGATTTCCATTGATGATGCTACTTTTTAATAATCAATTAATGATTTTTCCAGTTCTGAGAGCGATCAACGACGACAGCTCCGTAGTGCCTACACTACTGACCGACTACATTCTGACGGGTACGCTTTCGATGCAGTCAATATCCTGGGAATGGAGAGGGCGTGGCTGCATACCTCGTGACATGACTGAGGCTGCGCTTTTAGTACGATATTGCGATTTGGGTGTGCAATCATTTCTTTGTCCAGTGAAACACCAGAATGACACTTGTTTGAGAGTTACCACGGAAAACGCATTCTATAAAATGTCCATACGAAACACTCAGCCACGCCCTCATCATCTCGGGATATGGAGTGTATTTTGACTATTTAACTTGAAAAGTCCTTATTCATCACCTTTCAGTAGTGTGCCCAAAGACCGTCGTCTGCTAGTCCGGTGCTTCATGATCTCCATAGATCTCTCTATCGCCTTGCACAAGCACACACACCCTCACACCGTCAGTTACCGTACCTATCGAAATCTGTACCGTATGGCGAGATATTCAAACTGCCTACACCATCATTTACCAAATGCTTGTGAGAATTGCGCTTATTGTTATCGCTCGTCTGTTCGCAATTTTAACTAGCAGTAAGCTTAGGCAAATGGATTAATCACGCTATTCGTTACTATTTAATCAATAGCTATTAATATCATTGAACTCATTTTCGCCCCTTGTGCTTATGTTGTTTCTGTTTTGTCCAAGATTTATCCGTTAGACCCGCACTACATCGGTTCTGTCTTTGATCACGTAACGTTTGAAGATGCGTCCATACTCAGTAGACTTGCATCTCGGCCGTTTTGGCTGCGAAGTTTATCAGGCCGCGTGGCGACCCAAGGAAGCGTTCAGACTCCGCGATTACACGCGCCGACGAGCTACTACTGCAACGCGCCCCAAACTTTTGTATGGGAACGCAGTCATAGATCGAGGGTATCGATCGGCGCCGCTGGCTACTGCTCTGATGGAGTGTGGGAGAATAAGAGGGTACCAGACTGTGCGATCAGGTAACGCGTGTCCTCCTTTTCTCCCTTACACTAACGTAGTAGCAGCCGGCGTCGATCGATACTCGTCTATGGCTGCGTTCCTGTCTATAGCACTGAAGCACCATGATAGCGCGTCGACGCGCGTCATCGCGAGGTCTGAACGCTGCCCAAGCGATTCAGTTGTTCGAGTCGCTGGGTATAAACACGGCCTTACATGAGCAGCCGGTTGCAGTTTTGCAGACGACGGACGCATCCCAACTTGTCACTCAAAGACGTCCGGATAGGATGCGACTTTCTGGGGTTGAAAGCCGCTGATATATGTACCCGATGAGATAATCGCACTCTATGCATAGATGCTATGGAACGATTAGGATTTTCCCCGCACAATGCAATCTTATTTTCCGTGTGTATGTAGTTTGTATGTGAGCGTGTGTGACACTTTCTTTATACCACCAATGCCTTTCATCTGACTGATGCTGGAGAAACCTATGCCTCCGACGCAAGCGGCAGCACAACGTGCCGCGACCGCGTTTCTCTCAGGCACGGTTAGATAGAAGGCATGGATCACATGTATCTTAACCTTCTCCCTCAAAATCACTGTAGGGGAAGCGAATCTCGCCGCACCGAAATGATTTCGAGATTCTTTCGAGCTAACCCATTCATGTCGTGGCCATTTTGCATCGTCGCCCAGACTGATGCTTGACAACCCTACCCCTAGTTCCTCTGACGATATGAAGTGGATATGCGATACCCTCCAGTCACATTCAAGCCATATTTCTATGTTGTTGCAATCGTTTCCTATGCATCACTGTCGTTGTACATTTTTGGAAATAAATTTATTGCAGCTTGTTAGAAATCTAACATACCCGAGATAAAATGGACAGCAAACATCATGCGAAAAATCAGAACATAACAGCTATAAGTGGCACCTAGCGGTCCACTATGTGAGAATCACTCTATTTCATAAACTAACAACTTTGTCGATTTGTAAATATGTTGACCCGTGAGTAAGTCGTCTGTATGTCGGTATGTTCGCAAATGACTCTGGGTGTGACAAAAGAAGTGGTAGGAGAAAGCCAGTGCTAGCAAAATGAAAATAAATTGGTATTGCAATTTGCGAACCTAACGTGGGGCTATGAGATAGGAGAGATAACACCTCCATAGGGTCAAGCATCACTTCGCAGAAAGTCGTCCAAGGATGGAAGACGCATAACACCTCACCCTCCTTATGGCTGTTGATGTATTTGACCCAACCAGCTGCAGTTGCGTCGCGCTGCCGAGAGCGAAGCCGGCCTACATGACATCACTGACTTCCCCTAATAGCTCCAGGCCAAATCGAACGATGCAGGATATTACCCTAACGATCCTTCGCTAAGCTTAACGGGTAATTCAACTCTCTGGCAACGCGCCTACGAGAACTTTCGAGCGCCCATAAGTACACTTAGAATTCGATCGGACATTCCCACCACCATCTTAAAGAGCATATTAAATACTATCGTGACACTCCGCACAGCCTTCTGGACGAGCGCCATCGAGAGATTCTGGCACGACCGCCGATGTGCCTGAATTCAGCGAGATCGGTATTTCTCCCAAACTGTAAACCAACATATTGAAACTCCGCCCAAACCGCAGCAAAATTGAGGGAGGTTTTAGGTCAGGTGACCGCCTACTTGATATTCATCCTCCTTTAATACTCAACGCCCTTCCATTCCACTAGGCGGAAGAGTTTTCCACGCCCTCCTTCCATGTGTGCACTCAAATCTGTAGCAGTATTAAAGTTTCCTAAGAATGTACGGGCGACGACCAAGAAAAATTATAGTCGTTCCATACAAGTACCCCGCCACCATCAACCCTGTCCTCGCCAACTGTGTGAAGATGATGTCAGAACCGTAGCGACATCTTGTCGAGCTTCGATTTGGAGGGCTTCCAGATTGAGCACTACTCGTCTCCCGTACTCCAACTGGAAGGTACCTTCTCCATGCGGACTCCAAACTCAGAAGTTTCGCAGCTGGTGAAGTGACGTGAATCCAAAGGCTCTTCTCCACTCAGGCTGGAACTGGAGATGACTTCATATTTTGGTGTGGGTAGTGAAAGTCAAGAGTCTGAAGTCAAGAGCCAGCTCCTGCTTATCCAGGAACATCTTGGGTATCTTCGCCCTGGTACTCGTATCCACATCCTCTGTCTGGGCTGCAAAAACTTTGCTGATATGTGACTCGGTCGAAGTGACTTTTTTTTCCCCCCCCCCCACTGTACATTAAAGCTTTTATAGATGCTTGAGTGCGGCCCTACAAAAACAACGTGAAAAAACGAATTTTGACATACTTTATTGGAACCCAGGACTGTCTATGAAATAAACGCAATAGCTACGAGCCTACATCGTCTTAGCAACTAGAATATTTCTCTTTCCATATGAGCAAAGCGAGCTCTACCAAGGAAAATTCACTGTCGCGATTTTGCCCCGAAATTTTCCTTAGCATACATAAGACAGCCAAAGCCCAGGAAGCAGGAACATCCATTCCCAGGAACCTCGGAAAGCACTTTCCAGCTTTTCTTCTCTTTCTTACCAATAGGAACTGAAGCTTGGAGGCGCTAATGAACTCCTCTGTAGAATGCGCAGCGCACTCGCTTCCATTCGGAATCTCAGGTGGTAGAAATATAAGGCGGATCCACGTCCGCGATCTAATTCAAAATCCGTGGAGTTCTAATGGCACGTCACAACTACATCTACCGGACACTAGTATCTCTCAAGCAATGGATATGCTGACAGCTTGGTGAAATATGTGAACGGAAGCGGCAATGATACAAGTTCAACAGTGAAATATCTAGTAATTGTGTTCTAATAAAAAGCTGGTCAAGGAGCTGCCAAAGCATTAGCTTCTTGTTTTTTGAACTCTTCCTTGTCGAAAAACTTCAGAGGCATGTCACCATGTACTGTAGTGACACCCAGTCTCCTTCTTGGCTTCGTAGGCACCAATGAACGTGAGCACGTACCTATAGGGAAACGTCTATGCGCATAAATGGACTCTGGTATCTCCGGGTATCGATGGATGTTTGGAGAACTGAAATATGTCTCGTTACTTGTTCATCCCCATCAACAGCAGTTCTTAAGATCTAAACATCTAAATAAAAGACCAGGATACTGTCAAGATTTGGGATAAAACCCTGGAAAGGACATAAAATGACTCACTTCTCACGTAAGCACAGAATACCATTCCATGCAATCATCTCTGCGTTGTCGGTACATAAACGTGGTGGGACTTTGATGACCTCTAGTCCGTGAGAACTTGCTAACTTAGATATACCTTAACTTGAAGAACTGTAAAGGATAGCAAAAGGACCCCAGGGTCCCTAACACTATTGAGTACTTACCGTTACAAATGTATCCATTTGCTGCGACACCACCACTGATTACAAGATGTTTTATACTCAATAATTCTCCATTGTCGGAAAGATACTCAAGGCAATTATGAAGTTTTGAGACTAGATGGCGAGTAACGTGATGCTGAAATACACGATTATTTCAATTTGCTATAACTAGCCATCAATCACCATAGAAGGTATCATGCACCCGAACCGCAGAACATGGGAGATGACTGCTAACTATCGAGAACCAACCGACGTACGAACGAGTGGTTTCATACCGCAGGTAGCAGGAATAGGTGATCCAAGGGGATTCCGTAAATAAAACGTTGAAGACCGCGTAATTCATACGTTAACCGCAAACAAATAAAAAACAGGAGTGGTTTCATTTGATTTTGGCACAAGTGCGGTAGTCGTGCAATTCTCTC